CCCCAAAACCCCAAAACCCCATGTTGATTATCAATCTTACTAAATGTGCTTAAGAAATTAAATTACTCATAATTAATGGGAACTTTTGTTTTGAAGCATGAATGTGGTGAAGTAATCTCTGAAAAATATATCGACATTCGTATAAAATTCCTTCTTTTCGCTACTCTTAATGCCTATGTTTAGACATTGGCAAATCGATAACAAATTCTTAAGCTGCTTATATGTAAAATTAGAATCACTGTTTCGCTTAACGAAATCCAATAGCTCCTCCCTCGATAAGAAATAGGCTTCAACAAAAGCAATCAAATTTAACAATTATGATGGACAATCTAATACTTTCATCTAAACAATGTTTCTAAGATAATTGATATCTTGCTTCATACTCTCTCGACCAAAGTCATTACATTTTTTTATCTAAGCTATTGATTCAATAATAGTCTGGGCTATGTAATCAGTAGAAATTGATATCATTCTTTTCTAAATAATCTCTGGTGCTTAACTTACACCCTCCCCCTTTTTAAATATTTCAGTCAAAGTTTTACTTGCAAATAAATCAATGGATTGTATTACTTTTTCAATGTATGATGAGATATCTGTTTTCTTTGACTTCAATGTCCAATTAATATTTCCCACATTTTAGATGCTCAGATCAAGCGGTACAACTTCATGAATGTTCTAATAATACAAGAAATGCCTGAATTCATTAATGGTCTGATCAAGGCTGTTGAAATATTATATCACATAAGCTTGTTATTAGGTATTGACCAATCGTTTGATCAAATTTCTTTTACTCGAAATCTATTCATAAACGAATAGCACACTCTCGACACAAACTATTGTTTTATAGAGAGAATACTGAACATCTTACTCAAATCTGTTTAATAATTCAAAAATTTAAGCATTCGGTAGCGTCTTTATTAGGATAGAGAGCACTGGATTACTTTGTATAGAACAATTGAGTTGCTAGCTACTCTAATTTTACTCTACAAAATTCCTGACTCGAATTAAGAAGTTTTTAAGGTACTTATATCTTTACTGGAAAATGTAAAGTTCGTGTAGATCTTAATATTTTGAGAGATCTTCAAGATTCGGGTCAACATTTTCATAGACTGAATCTTCAAATAGTCTTTTATATTACTGGCTTTAAGCAAACATATGAAAAGCTGAAAAGAAATATAGTTCAAAAGACTAGCAAAGATTTATGAAAATATCGAAGCTCTTGTGTCTGCATACATTCATTAGCTCTATATATTTAGCAATAGTGCTCTTGATTATGTTGAGACCTGATAGACTTAGAATCATGTTCTTGTCGAACTTTATCTTGCTCTACTACTAATAGAATGTGAGTGACTTCTAAACTCCATTATCAAATTAGTTTATACCTTGTTTGTATTATAATTCAAGTCCTCCAGACTTCATATCTTCATCGCCAATATCAATCATATCATCTTCATCGTAACTTCGATTGCCTTCATCATCTGACATTTCTTATTCAGTCATACAGATGATAAATGATTCATTTTTGTCTGCCACATCATGCCTCTATTCTTTTTAAGCAGAGACAAATTGAATCTATTCAAATGGATTTGATACAGCAAACTAAGAGAAATGAGAAACAATCTTTGAACTCTTCTTCTTTGATAAGTTGCCTATGTCAGGTAGCTAGCTATCTCTTACTTCCATTCCAGCTATACTTGGTCTAGATTAACTGGAAAAGACATTTAAAAGTTAATCCATATGTTTCGGATACTCGGCAAATGGATCCTCAATTTCTTTTATCACGAAGTTATCCGGAATCGGTAATCTATCCCATTCCTCTCTTTCTAATAGATTTTTGACATTTTAAATATGAAAGTTCTTGAAATCCTCGATGTATTTATTAGACAGATCATTGGATAAATATCTTAATAGTGAAACCTAGCTAGATTCATCATCACCTCCGAATTCTTAACCCATATCAATAAATCTATTACTAAGCATTAGTAAATCAAACAATTCCCTTATACTCAGATCATCTGCTAATTCTTAAGTACTTTGGAAAAAGTTAATCAATTTCTCTTAAATATACTGCCAAAAAGACTTTCTATCCTGTACTAGTTGATACCTAATTATATCATTTTATTCTTCGCTAAGCACGTTGTCTGAGAGGGAATGATATCTTGTAATTAAATGATGATTATACATTAGATTTGACAAAGTTTTGTACAGCTCGCAGATGGCTTGCAAATAGTAAGTTTTATCTAGCATTTTAGAAAGAGTCCCCAGCTTAATCCTTGGATTTTAATAGTTTATGCCTATCAACTATAGTTATTCAAAGTTCTTTTGATATTTCAGAAGAGATCTTTTCATAGATTAAGTTACATTCTGTCTTATTTTATCCTTTATATTGTTCGCTATGTATTCACTAAAGTTTAGTTTTTGATCATTACATAGTTACTGATTAGCTTTTAGAATTTTATCATATAATTATTAGTCATACTTAAGTATGAGTAAATTTAAACCTTAAGCTAATTTATCCTTGACATTCAAGACCAATAATTGAAATTTATCCTTTAAGAGTTCGAGACAGCTGAAGGAAAACTACTGCTGGAATTCTGTAATTTAATTAATGCTTTAGGCTGAAAGAATGAGAGCCTTTTTAAAATCGTGCTTTTACAATAGTTTCTTCACTTATATCTCATTATCACAGAATTATTTTAATACTTTCACAGTAATATCCTTAACTATTTACAGTCTCTTTTGCTTTCTCTTTAAAAATATTGCTTTATACATAGTAATAGCTATTTTTTTCCTGATAAATTCCACAGTCTAAGTTGAATTCTAGCTGATTTCTTTTACTATTTGCAAGTCATCTTATATTCCTTTAATATTGGTGACCCCTTCTACAAATTTATCAGAATTTTTCATCACACTGAATGACAGCTAATAACTTATTACTTTTTACACTCTTTCAAGATCTTCACACCTCTCAGTAATCTCAAATATGTCAATTGGGATAGATAGCTAGGAAAACTCCTTTTTAAACATTTAGATCTGATTTATTTCTATTGATGGCAGATGATATGATTCATCTATATTTGAAAGAACATCATCTGAATTCGGCAAAGACATTAGAATATCTAGTACTTCCTCTTTAATTGATTTCATCTACTTCTTGAGTCTAAAGTTTTCATCGTTCCTTTGATTGTTGCTATTATTATTTGAGTTTGCCCCATAGTGATATTTATCTATAAGTGCTTAGATTTGTGACTAATGCGAATTCTGTTTCAGATAATCTATGAAGCTAAGCTCACTGTCTTTATCTGCTGGAGAAGAGAAGTATTTGTTGTCTGATTCCTATAGTTCATCATCATCATTCTCGTATTTACTAAAATCTTCATCATCAAATTTAATCTCAAACTTGTCAGGAGTCTTGAAAATAGAAGAAAAAGCTTTAGAATCTGAAATCTATTAAAGATTTTCTTTATCTTAGTCATCTCTATGCAAACCATCATTTTGATATTTGTATTCCTCTTTATTCTACTAATAGAACTCTTCATACTATATGTCTTTTTTTGGTTATCTATTCTATACTTGTTGTTGAGTATTTAAAGTATTGATTTTTATGCCATTATTCTCAAGGGTTTGAGTGACTTTTTTCAAGAAATTTGAAAACATTCCTTTCTTTTTTTAAAGTCCAAATTGAATTATAATTATATTATAAAAATTTGAATTTGAAAATATAATATCAGGAAGTTTAATAAAAATTTAAATGAAAGTTAACCCATAACCATTAGAAGAGCGCTCTCTTTTAGTGAATAATAGAGGAGATAATAGATCAAGTTTAGCTTCTGGTCTTAGAGGGAGAACCATGAGAAGAACTGATGCTCAAAGATGCCAAAATATTCTTAAGACCATTGTTGAAGGGAAGGTTGCAATTATTGTTATGTCTCTCGTAACAGTATATGCTCTCATCGGAGTAAGATTAAACTTTTGTTTTATTAAATTTTAGGATGATATTAGAGTATGGGCTACGACAAAAGAAGCAGATCCTTTTTTCTAAAGTGCATTGATTGTCTCATTTGCACTATTTACTATAGAGATTTTGATAAACTCTGTAGTTGCAGAAGATTTCAAGTATTCCTTCTTCTTTTGGCTTGACATTATTGCGACATTGAGTTTAATTGCTGACATCAATTGGATTTTGGATAAAATTGGAATATTGCTTGGATCAACTCCATCTTATGAAGCAGTCGATGTTGAACCTGGAGTTGTAAGTATTCAATTTTAGTTTAATAATCTAAATAGATGAAAGTAGAGTCAAATGCCTCAAGCAGAATATAAAAAGTTGTAAAATCAGTAAGACTTATCAGACTCATTCGTATCATCAAACTTTACAAATATATTGTCCAGTCAAAAAAGGATGAGGAGGGATCTTAGCCTAAAAAGAAGAAAGTAACTTACGAAACTACAACAAACGAAGAGGAAAATGAGTAATCCCTATTCAAGAAAGAAACCGATCCTAGTAAGCTTGGAAAGGCACTATCTGATACAATTACAAGAAGAGTTATTATCGGAGTCTTGCTTATGCTTATGGTCTTGCCTTTACTATCATATTCAGAAAATGATTTTTCTTCCGAATATGGTCTTCGAGAAATATTTTGGTTTGGAAGATCTTAGTGTTCAAAAGCAAATGGAGATTTTTACTGTGAAAATGGTAATTGGGTGACATAAGAAGGATGGTTTGAGCTATTAAGACAATATACTAACAGCAGTTTCGCAAATGAAGGTGATGATCAAACGAAAGAGTTGCTGTGGCTTTATGTTCCTGACTATAATAAGGATGGAAGAATGGGCTCAATTGCATATGTCCCGAGTCAAGGGACTAATTCATCAGTAAATCCTATTTGGAAATAAACTGATGCATGCTCAGGTTTTCAAGTATCAGATGATTGTCCTTACAGATATGAAGAAATGGATCTGATTTCCTTTATACCTCAGCAATGTATAGACTTTGAAATCAAAGGATGTGATCAGCTGGTTTCATATGCAAGATTTAATAAGAGATATGAAAAGATTTAAGAAGCTATTCTATAATTTTCGACAACTCTATTCACCTGCTTTGTACTAACAATTGCATCATTAACTTTTACTAATGACACTTAATAGATAGTCATTAAACCTATCCAAAAGATTGTAGAGATTATCCAAAGATTAGCTGAAAATCCATTGAAAAAACCATCTCCACCTAAGAAAGACGATGAGGATGAGAAAAAAAGTTAAATGAAAACATAAATGCTAGAATTAACTATATTCAAGATATCAACATTGCTACAAAGAGGATTTGGTGAGTTAGGAGCAAGAGTAGTAGCTAAAACATTTACTAATACGGAGGATTATATGGATCTGATGGTTCCTGGGAAAAAGATTAACTTGGTATTTAGTGTATTCAGAATAAGATAATTTACTGAGACAACTGAATCTCTGCAAGATGAAATCATCGTTTTCGTGAATAAAATAGTTAAAATTGTTCATGAGGTTGCTAAGAAATGGGATGGAGCACCAACTAAAAATTATGGCGACAAGTATTTATTAACTTGGAGACTTCCAAATTTAAAGAAAAATGAGCAGATGTTATCTGGATAGAGAACTGTACCAAATTTAGCAATTATTGATGGAAACAATGATTAGCTGCTATCTCCAAATAATCAAGCTGCAAATCTTAACTAGGGACCAGGTGATGTATCTGTAAATTTAAATGGAACCATGAGAATGCCAGATGTGCAGGATGCTTTAATCAAAAGTAACTATTTTATGTTTTAAAATAATTTAAGATGAGGAACAATTTCTTGAGTTAAAGGATGAGGGCCCTAAAGATGAAGAAATCATTGAAAAGAGAATGGAGATTGCTGATAAAGCCCTAATTTCAGCTGTAAAAATTGCAGTTGAATTGAGAAGAGCTCAAGATTTGCAAGCATACTCAAGGCATCCGAAGATTGCTCCTAAGTTTGGATCAAATTATAGGACTAAGGTTACATTTGGACTTCATGTAGGATGGGCTGTAGAGGGAGCTATCGGTACTGAACAAAAAATAGATGCATTATTCCTTTCTCCTCATAGTTAAATTGCCTTAAAGATTGAAGATATGTGTAGCATTTATGAGACTACAATTCTTCTTAGTGAAGATCTGCAATAACTTATCAGTGATAAGGGTAAGAATTCATTGAGACTTGTAGATTTTGTTGTAATGAGCGAAAGAAAAACAGAGCCTAAGGTAATTAACTTTGATAATTTTATATACACTAATTAGGAAATCTATACTTTTGACTTGAATTACACTGAAGCAATTGATTCACTATCTAACTAGCAAGAAGGATATGAGCTTGGGGGATTAGTAAAGCATTAAGAATTCGAAACATTTGATATTTCCAAAGAAGAGTAAAATTTCTAATCTGACTCATAATTAGGGGTGTATCATACATGTTTTAAATTGATCATGATTTCTTATCTTTCAAGAAGAGTAAGAAGCCATAACTTGAGGAAGAATATAGGAAAGCTTACCGTTTCTATCTTGATAAATGTAAGAAAATAAACTTTTTAAGCTTTTAGAATGGAGTGATGCCTATCAATGTCTTAACACATGCTTGGAAATATCTCCAGAAGATGGACCCAGTCAGGCGATGAGTGATTATATTGAAAAGCATAAAAATTTTGCTCCAGAGAATTGGCCTGGCTATAGAGATGTGGATGAAAAGGAAGCAGCACCATCATTAGACTTTATCAAGGCTGGCTTTGATGATGAAATGATGGACGAGGGAGAAGAAGAACTTGATGATGACGCCTCCTCTTGAAATTTCATAAATATTAGTTCTACTTAGATAAAAAATGAGAACTAATATATTTAGTAGAGTGGTTTATAAAATCTTATAAATTTATCCTTTTGTCAGATAATAAGTTATTAATCCTTATCAAATAACTTATAACTAAATCTTAATTGACTTTTAGATCTACTTTCACTTCAATATATCTTGCATCTTTCGACTGGATCTGAGGGTTCATATCTGCATTAACTGGTTTTAAGATTGGTGAATCCACCTATGTACCTGTGAACATTATATATGTTGCAATAGTTTGTCTCATAATCGTATATAGAGAAAGTTTGAGATCTGCTTTTAGAAGACACAATACAGTTTGCACCTTATTACTTGAATTCAAATATTATATCATCGATGTATTTCTTGACGGGAGTAGTTCTTGTTGTCCAGATATAGTCAGTATCAGCAGATTCTTTCAAAGCGTATATACCATTGGCATCAGGTTCAGGATTAAATTCTCTAATTGTTTTCTCCACAGCGGTAAATGCCTGTTAGCATGTTTGTGAAGGATATGTGACTTCCATTGCACAATTTGCATGAAATATATCAAACTCAGGGAAGTCAGTTTTTGCAGAGAACGCTTAGCCAACTAAAGAGGCTAGGAGAAGAATGTTCTTTAGCATTACTAAATTTATGATTATTAATTTGGATAAAAACATTTACATATCACTATCCACAAACATCAACTTTTACTTTGAGGGGTTTTGGGGTTTTGGGGTTTTGGGGTTTTGGGG